TTCTCTAAAGCGGCACAATAAATGCAAAATTATTGAGAACGAATATGTGCTTATTCTCTAAAGTCCCACAATACATGCAAAATTCTTGATAATTGTATACGCTTATTCTCTAAAGTCACACAATACATGTAAAGAAATTTATTCAAACATTCTCAATTGTATACAATTTGTATTTTCTCAGTTGTATGGAATTTGTTTACGGAAATTATTGAGTACGAATATACACATTAATGAAACAAAGTAATGAAATTCATTATCATAAGACTAACAAGGAGATATCGGGAAGATTAAAACCATCAATTGTAATTATTGTGCTGCTTTTGTTATTATTGTACATGCTATCTATACAACATATTGTTGTGGTGTGTCTTCATTTGAAAGATATGTGTACATGGAAGCATACTCATCTACATATCCGAAGATTAAAAGTAAATAAATAAGTCAAAATTAGCCAGAACCAATAAAAATCAGTCGTAATCTGGCGTCATAAATCATAAGCATTTTCATTGATATGTGAACGTAATAATAATAAATAATGGAGAAGTAAAAAGTAATGAGTAATAGGTAGGTAAATAGTAGTAAGTCAATAATAATAGTTAATAGTAAATAATAAGTAATAAGTGAAAAATAATAAGGAATAAGCAATAAATAATACGTAATAAGTAACAAGCCAAAATCCGCCAAAATCACTAAAGTTTTGTCAAAACTTTGCAACTTTAAATAGATAACGATTAAAATGACCAAATGAATTTAATAAACTTGAAAAGATCGTTTCCAGAGGAATTATAATGAACTCCCAATTCTTTGTGTGCCAATCCAAGTTCAATACTTGTAGCCAATTGTTTACGCAACTTGACACCCAACTAGCTAAAAGAGTTCATATCCTAAGCAATGTTTAATGTTACGATTTTCTGCTCGTAAAAAGTTGAAAGTAGATTAAACTATATATTATGTAGTTGCTGAAGAAATCGAAGGAATTACGCGTAAGTGCATTCATATGGATTTTTTGGAAGGTATTTTTAAAAGGAGATAATAGCAAATAATAATAAGAATAATAAAAACATAATAAAAAGGAAAAGAATATGACTCTTCAAATTTATTAATGGGTCAATATTTATGTTCGCATCCTAGTAAAAATCAAATTGATCAGAAAACTGACGTACGTAGGATGTGATAGATCTGCAATTGCTAAAGGTGGTGAACTGCAATCTTTATGTCTCAAAAAAATGTCAAATATTACCAATGTCATTTTAGTTTGGTGCGTCGCAGCTGAAATATTGAATGTTATACTACCAAATGATATGCCATGTAAATGGCCGTACGTTTTTTCTAATATCTTTTAAACGAAGAATACACCTTTATAATTTTAGTAATGGCTATCATTTGGATACCATTCTGTTACTTTCCGTATTTATGGGCGCGTTTGGTTTGGATATTTGGGCTATTATGGCATAGGTTTATTAAAAGTCAGCATATTAGGCAGTTTCTTTATTGGCCAATTACTCGATTATTTTGATTGGTTTATGAATTGTACGACCCGCAGACGCTGTTGTCGAAATCATACGAAGCGATAAAAAACTTATCGCATTCGTAAGGATGACTTGTGAATTATTATTTATAATTGGGTACTTTGTTGAGAAAAAAGATTGAAATATTTGTTTTTTACTTTTAATTTGATCGTTATATTAATATGCAAAAATGAAAAACAACAGCTAAATTCAGAAAACTATTCTGCTTGTTGGTTGTAAATCTGTCGATTATCGAGTATCGAGTAGTGAGTTTACAACAGCCGACTCATATAAATTCACAAAACTGTACTAACAAAAAGATCGCTCGAATCAAGTGCGCATCCGACATCGAATACATATAAATCATGCCTTACAATTGTAGATGCCTACGACCATTATCATTACGTCTTCAAATCATGCCCTCTACGTGAAAAAGTATATTTTCACATTTACATAAATGATTTTTTAAGATTTACCATCGCACATACACACACACCTCCTTGATTGTCCCTATGCACATTTATACTAAGTTTTATACCTATAATTTTTAAGATATCTAATATTTGGTTTTTTCAAAGACCTTTAATTATTAGCTTTAATATATAAACTTTTTGCAGGTATTTTGCCGGGAATAGAAATATTTTTTTAAAATATTGAAAAAACGAGTTTGTATTTGTTGACAAGCGGAAAAGCGTGTATGAATTTGGTCACATCTGAATGTGCTGGTTTAAGCTGTATCGCGTTCTTTGTGTAATTTATTTGGTCTTTTTTCGGATGATTTTGAGCATATAAAAAGCAAATTTGCAATCACTTTTTTGTGACATCGCAACAAAAGATAAATTTTTAATCCAAATAATCTTTTATTTTTGTCAAAAGGGGTTTGGACTAAGTTATTTTCACATTGTAACAATTTAAGTCGCTAGAATCTGTGCAAGATTGCTTGGTCAGCTCATTGAAATCTCAACATCGTCAAATTTAACTT